GTGTGGAGAGAAAGGAACCCTTCCCCATTGTTGGTGGGAGTGTAGACTGGTGCAACCACTATGGAAATCAGTATGGAGATACCTCAAAGAACTAGAACTAGAGGTCCCATTTGACCCAGCTATTCCCCTGCTGGATATCTTCCCCAAAGAATTAAAAGCATCATACCACAGCGATATTTGTGCACCTATGTTTATAGTGGCACAGTTTGTAATAGCTAAAATGTGGAAACAGCCCAAGTGCCCATCAACTGGAAACTGGATAAAGATTTTTTTTTTTATAAAATGGAGTACTACTTAGCCATAAAGAATGAGAAACTAGAGTCATTTATAGCTAAATGGATGCATATTGAGGCCATACTCTTAAGTGAAATAAATAAGACACACATGTGTAAATACCAATAGTATCTCTGGTGTGAGAAACTGAAAGTGTAAATAAGGATGAAAATGATTAAAATGAATAATTGATAATTTGAAATAGGAAAAGATCCAAAGATGGAGGGGTGGTGGGAGGCGAAGGGAAAAGGGAAGAAAGGAAAGGAAAAAGTATGAGAAAGAAAAAAACTGGAAATAAAGTCTATGTAAATAGGGAAGGGTGGTGGGGGTGAAGGGCACATAGGTAATGGGGAAAAAAATAAGAACTAAGATACCTCATATTCAGGTACAAACACCCAATGATAAATGTAAATGTATTGTGTACCTAAAATGTACCAATTAATACAGAAATTTTTTTTTAAAGTGGCAAGAATGATTAGATAAGTATATTTGAAGTGAGGGAGAGTATCTTGAGGGGGATTAATGGCAATATGTCACATTAATGTGTTTTTTAATTTAAACAGTCACCATACTTTTTATCACACCTCATATATAATTATGATCTAATAAAACATAGTTGTGTATCACTTAACAAGAAGAAAAAAATACAAAACGTTTTCTTTATCCAGTCTGCAGTTGATGGGCAATTGGGCTGCTTTCAAGTTTTAGTTATTACAAATTGTGCTGCTATGAACATGGGTGCGCATATATCACTGTGGTATGATTCTTTTAATTCTTTGGGGAAGATACCCAGCAGGGGAATAGCTGGGTCAAATAGGACCACTAATTCTAGTTTTTTGAGTTATTTTCATACTGATTTCCACAGTGGTTGCACCAGTCTACACTCCCACCAGCAGTGGAACAGTCTTCCTCTTTCCCCACTGCCCCGCCAGCATTTGTTATTGGTTGATTTCATGATAGCAGCCATTATTTCTGGGATGAGGTGGAATCTCAGTGCTGTTTTCATTTGCATCTCTCGAATGTCCAGTGATGTTGAACATTTAGAAATACAAAGTTTGATAAGAATAAAAACAGCATTCAGTGTATTATTAAGTCAATTAAAATAACAGGAAAAACAAAGATAAATCAATTTAAAACTATGTTCTGGAATATTATTATTTTTGTAGTTGATGATAACAAAAAAATAACTTTTTGAAAAGTACCATAGAACCTACTAAACATGATTATTGTAATAAAAATATATTTTAATTGTTTCAGTACTTACCACCACCTCCTCCAAGAAGACTGGCATTAGCTGTTTAAAAGAAAAAACAAGATATTAAATAATATATACAAAATAGAATATGCCAGAGTAGTTCAAGAAAAAGGTAGTTATGATCATTTGTCATAAAATACACATACACAAAATATATATTTTTATATAAAGACAGCCTTTATTACTATTTTATGGTGATATGAAATTAAAGTATTCCAGTTTTTCATTCTTTTTCTCTTCAAATGGCTATTTTTATAATATATTTCCTTCTAATAAAACAAAATTAAATATATATTACATTCCTTTTATTCTCCATCTATATCTAAATTAATCTTCTGAATTTTCTATTTTATCAGAGACACAACAATGTTATTTAAGTAATTTCAGTGATTTCAAAGGACATTGTAACAATGAAGTATAATGATAATTTAAATTAAATTAAACAGTATCAAACAAAACTATCTCAACCATTATGCAGTAAGAAATAATTCAAATAACAGCAGATTTGATAAAAGAAATAAACTTTAAATAATTGTAATTTCTTACTTGTTTACACATTAATTCAACCTACATATTTAAAGAAGCCAAATAAGTATGAGAAAATCTCATTTGGATTTTATTCAAGAGATCCAATTTTCTGAAAGTCCCATTGCAGGTTTTTGCTAAAGTATTAAATAACATTATGACTATGCTTATCTAGATATAGTGACCAGAAAACAGAATATATACTGCACTGAGCTTCAGCCCACAGAATTCTTATGTATGAGGTATTATTTTATGCCATTAAAAAAGGATGATCTCGCAGCAGCGTTAAGGAAGTAGGTGGCAAACATGTTGTCCTATTTTTATGGATAAAACTGAGTTAACAAGACATTAAATAAAGAGGAATGAAGGTATTTTACTTGAATTTTTCTGTACTTTCCACAGACTAGGCATTGCCATAATTCATAAGGAGTAAATAACAGTGCTAATGATTTAATCAACAAATAATAGATAATTTGAAGAACAAATGCCTGTATTCACAGTTCCGGGAGGTTGATAAATGTGTGATGGCACCTGGTGTGGTGGCACATGCCTGTTATCCCAGCACTCGGAAGGCTGAGGCAGGATAAATTGCCCCAGGTTCAAGGCCAGCCTGAACTACCCAGTGAGACCCTATCTCAAAAAACAATAACAAAACAAAAACGCCCAAAATATGTGATGGCTTTCTGATTAATGAAACCCTAAAAGAATTTCATAAAAAACATGAAGAACAAATGCCTTTGAAAGCTTAAAATCTTTTCAATATGTCAGAACTGATCTTCCAAGTACAGTGTTATCTAATTGGCTCTCTTGCCCTCCCTTCAATGTTTTTGTCACAAACATGCACAGAGTAGCAATGTCACTAATCAAATAGAAACAATACTCACTTCTGATCTTCTAAAGTCACTTACCACCACCCTATCACTGAGGTCTCCATATTCCTCTGACTATATCATGTAATGGTGTGTAGCAGTAATGTAAACTCTAGCCAGGACTTATACTTATACTTCCGCAAGTCAAGCTTTGTAACCATTGAAGTGGTAACTTATTGAAGCCCAATGAGAATAGATATTCAGAATTCTAATTTGTCTCATACCCACCAGGTGAATGAGGAAATTTTCGCAATCGGTCCGCGTCTCTAGGCTAATCCAAACATTTTCTAGAATTATAGCTACATTCATTTATAAAACCACATGGCATTTCGTACACCTGCTGATTTTTTATTTTCATATTTAACTGAGAACTGCTTCCCGAACTATGAGTTTTCCAGGTCCCTAAGGCTCCATCTGTTCTTCCATTTTCACATATTCACTCATAAGAAAAAACTGTATTTCCACTAATATAAAACAATAATAAATAGTAGCTCTTCATTTAAGCCATCATGCCCAGAGCACAATAGCACAATACAGTTGATTTTCACCCTGTGTTTTGGTCTATAAAAGTAGTAGTGCCTGTTTCAGATTACACCCCAAGGCCCATCTGTTTAACCAGGCATCTGTCCAATATGGATAAGTGGGAGTTGATGTAGGAACTAGACTTCCAGTTCTGGCCAACCGTCAAGTCAGTTTATGTCAAATATGTCTTCATGTCTAGATAACCATATCTGATTTTAACATCACCACAGAGTTACTTTATAGAATTTTGGCATTCTGCATAGTATACAACTATTTATTAAATAATTTAATGTGCATTACCATTCCTTGAATAAAATTTTCATTTAGCTGCTTGATCATATTCAAAGCAGTTCCAATAACTAAAATCCTAATAATACTTTTGTCAAATTAAATTTAAATTTATTTTGCCCATTTCTGTGCTCTCAATTTTAAAAAAAAATGACTTTATCAGCAAAAATGTCAAGGTAATTTTATTCAGCATAAGTGATAAAAATAGGCAAATAAAATTAAACTTTTACTGTGACTTCTAATATTGTTTTGTATCTATAAAGCACCCCAATAACTGATTATTCAACATTTATTAGTCAGATAGAATAATATTTCTTTCATTTTAAGAAAGTGTCTAAAATCGAGCATTTAATGATTATTGATTATTTCTAATAAATTGAGATATATCTCAATTAGATATGAAGATCTTTGAAGACAAGGTCTGAGATTACTAATTTGGTCTGCATCTAATAAGTTCTCAATACATATTTTATTATTTTTTGTTTTCTAGTACTGGAGATTGAACCCAGGGAGCACTGGGCTGAGTCCCTACCACTTTTTTGTGTGTGTGTGTGAGACTGGGTTTTGCTAAATTCCTGAGCCTGACCTCAAACTTGGAATACTCCTGCCTCACCCTACCAAGTAGCTGAAAATACAGGGATACACCATCACCCCTGGCAATTATTTCTAACAGTGAGATAATTGGAAAGTTTAATCAACTTCTAAATGGGATAACATCATAGCATTATTACCGATGGCATGACAAAGCTATAATATATCAGACACCTACAACTACCTTCTAGTCAGTGCAGGATAATCTTTCTATTATCTTTTATTATATGCATAATCTAATCTTTGTATTATTTTATACGCATTATTCTTTCTTATACTGAGCTAATAGCCATGCTATTTCAATTCTACTTCAATTGGTAAATAGCTTGGTAATTCAGGCAAGTCCCCTTCAACTATCTTACTTATCTTCTTTTGTCAGAAAATGGAGAATCAATCAGGAAGGAAAACAGGTTTCAAACTATTCTGATTTATTAATTAAGAGATTGTACCTCTAATTTCAGAAAGATTCTGAGGAAAAAGATGGACTCATTGCTTTTTACTTTTATTAGTACATGTTTGCAGTACATAATGGTTACATTCACTGTAGGGAACTGGTACATGTAAATAACACATTTCAGTTCCCTTCTTTTGCCCCATCCCTCCACATCCCTTTATTTTTCCAGCATGAGAGTCATTTAATCTTATAAGACCTTATAAAGTTAATTATCACATATATATAGATTCAAAATCAGACTAATAGGCCAAAGAACATATAAAACATGAAAGACAGTTTTACTAGGTCAAGGTACAATTTTAGATAAATTGTCCAAAATGGAATATAGTATCAATCGTTTTGGCTTTCTCTTGTTTTCT